AACTGAGGCCCCCGCCCCGCCCGCCCGCCCCTCCTCTGCTTGTGCCACGACGACTGTCCTGTCTCCCTCCCCAGGAATGACTCCAGGCCATTGCCCTCGCGTGCACACACGCACACGCATGCACACACACGTTACACGCGCACACACACCGCTGCGTTTCGCAGCCCGGCTTCCCGTCCTGAGGACGCCCGTTCCCCAGGAGGCCCCAGGCCGGTGACGCAGGCGACACTCTGAGCCATGCAGGAGGTGAGAGTGAGTGGGCGTGGGTCTCAGCCTGGCTGGGGAGGCCACTCCTGCTCCGCGATGCGCAGTTCGCGCCCCGGGAGGGTGTGTCGCCATCGGCACCTGGAGGGCAGTGGTGGCAGCGGGGCCAGGCCTTCCTGTCCCCAGAGCCTGTTCCCGTTGGCGATGGGGCCGGCAAAGTGGCCCCCAAGCCCCTGGACTAGAAGTGGGGAATGTGGGGGTGCGGCCGAGACGTGTGCGTGTGCGTGTGCGTGTGCGTGTGCCTGCGTCGATGAGTGCGAGTCTCTGGGGAGGCTCTTCTTTCAGAGCGAGGTGTTTCATTTCCTCCTTCGTGGCGCCCGGAAGCCATGGGCCGCGCAGCTCCGCGTCGTCCCATTTGTCTTTGTTTGCGGAGCCTGTCGGGCTGCCTCCCTCGATAGCGTGAATGTGGCTCAGCGTTTGCTGACGGCGGGGGCTGTCCGGGGGGGTTACTCTGTGGTGGAGCCAGTTCTCTCGGAGGCTGAAGGCAGGCAGGCTCTCAGCCTTCCCCCGTCCTGGGCCCCCGCCTCCCTTTCAGCCGCCAGCCGTGCTGCCACCGCGGGTCCCCTGAGAGAGGCGTGCTCCCCTCACCCCCCTTCTGCCTCTGGTGATGGACAAGCAGAGCCTTCAGGGGGCGGCTGAGAGGGAAACCCACCCCCTGATTAGGACCCGGCCACGCGGGGCCACCCACAGCCATACTCCTCCCCCTCAGGGCCCAGGGAGCAGCTCTGCGGGTCCTGGGGGGCGGGGGGGGGGGAGGCAGACATGGCCAGGCCCCGCCCCGAAGCCCACTCCCCCGTCAGGGCTCCGGGCCTGGGACTGTCCCCAGCTGGCGACGCTGAGACCCAACCCCGTTCAGAAGCTGTGACGTGTTTCTTCCCGTGAAAAGCCATCCTGCACACTCCTAGTCCTTCCGCGGTGGGGAGGCGTGTGCGTGTGCATGTGTGTGCGTGTGGTGTGCACGTGTGTTGTGTGCGTGTGTGCGCGTGTGTTGTGTGCGTGTGCGTGTGTGTTGTGCGCGCGCATTAAGTGAGAGCGCGCTCAGATGGAGTGTGCCCAGGGTGGGGGGGCTCCCTGCCTTTTGCAGCATCTGGGGGTCGCACGCCCCGAGGGCACCTGGACTCAAAACGGCAAATGGCCGGCATGTCTTTCTGGACCCCCTGCCCCCTGCCCGGCTCCCCTGCAGCCGCAGACCTCCCTTCCGGGGGGCAGGGGTCCCCC